ATTTATTTCAGCTTTTATTTCTTTCATCATATTCCCAGTGGGTCAGACATTTACATACACTCAATTAGTATTTGGTAGCATTGCCTTTATATTGTTTAACTTGGGTCAAACGTTTTGGGTAGCCTTCCACAAGCTTCCCACAATAAGTTGGGTGAATTTTGGCCCATTCCTCCTGACAGAGCTGGTGTAACTGAGTCAGGTTTGTAGGCCTCCTTGCTCGCACACGCTTTTTCAGTTCTGCCCACAAATGTTCTATAGGATTGAGGTCAGGGCTTTGTGATGGCCACTCCAATACCTTGACTTTGTTGTCCTTAAGCCATTTTGCCACAACTTTGGAAGTATGCTTGGGGTCATTGTCCATTTGGAAGACCCATTTGCGACCAAGCTTTAACTTCCTGACTGATGTCTTGAGATGTTGCTTCAATATATCCACATAATTTTCCTTCCTCATGATGCCATCTATTTTGTGAAGTGCACCAGTCCGTCCTGCAGCAAAGCACCCCCACAGCATGATGCTGCTTCACGGTTAGGATGGTGTTCTTCGGCTTGCAAGCAGCACCATTTTTCCTCCAAACATAACGATGGTCATTATGGCCAAACAGTTCTATTTTTGTTTAATCAGACCAGAGGACATGTGTCCCCATGTGCAGTTGCAAACCGTAGTCTGGCTTTTTTATGGCGGTTTTGGAGCAATGGCTTCTTCCTTGCTGAGCAGCCTTTCAGGTTATGTTGATATAGGACTCGTTTTACTGTGGATATACAGTGAGGGAAAAAATTATATTTTTTTGTACGTTTTCCCACTGCTGATTTTGTACGTTTTCCCACTGACAAAGAAATGATAAATCTATAATTTTAATGGTAGGTTTATTTGAACAGTGAGAGACAGAATAACAACAAAAAAATCCAGAAAAACGCATGTCAAAAATGTTATAAATTGATTTGCATTTTAATGAGGGAAATAAGTATTAGACCCCCTCTCAATCAGAAAGATTTCTGGCTCCCAGGTGTCTTTTATACAGGTAACGAGCTGAGATTAGGAGCACACTCTTAAAGGGAGTGCTCCTAATCTCAGCTTGTTACCTGTATAAAAGACACCTGTCCACAGAAGCAATCAATCAATCAGATTCCAAACTCTCCACCATGGCCAAGACCAAAGAGCTCTCCAAGGATGTCAGGGACAAGATTGTAGACCTACACAAGGCTGGAATGGGCTACAAGACCATCGCCAAGCAGCTTGGTGAGAAGGTGACAACAGTTGGTGCGATTATTCGCAAATGGAAGAAACACAAAAGAACTGTCAATCTCCCTCGGCCTGGGGCTCCATGCAAGATCTCACCTTGTGGAGTTGCAATGATCATGAGAACGGTGAGGAATCAGCCCAGAACTACACGGGAGGATCTTGTCAATGATCTCAAGGCAGCTGGGACAATAGTCACCAAGAAAACAATTGGTAACACACTACGCCGTGAAGGGCTGAAATCCTGCAGCGCCCGCAAGGTCCCCCTGCTCAAGAAAGCACATATACAGGCCCGTCTGAAGTTTGCCAATGAACATCTGAATGTTTCAGAAGAGAAGTGGGTGAAAGTGTTGTGGTCAGATGAGACCAAAATCGAGCTCTTTGACATCAACTCAACTCACCGTGTTTGGAGGAGGAGGAATGCTGCCTATGACCCCAAGAACACCATCCCCACCGTCAAACATGGAGGTGGAAACATTATGCTTTGGGGGTGTTTTTCTGTTAAGGGGACAGGACAACTTCACTGCATCAAAGGGACGATGGACGGGGGCCATGTACCGTCAAATCTTGGGTGAGAACCTCCTTCCCTCAGCCAGGGCATTGAAAATGGGTCGTGGATGGGTATTCCAGCATGACAATGACCCAAAACACACGGCCAAGGCAACAAAGGAGTGAGATGTGTGCAAACCTGGTGGCCAACTACAAGAAACGTCTGACCTCTGTGATTGCCAACAAGGGTTTTGCCACCAAGTACTAAGTCATGTTTTGCAGAGGGGTCAAATACTTATTTCCCTCATTAAAATGCAAATCAATGTATAACATTTTTGACATGCATTTTTGACTTGCTTGGGCCAAGAAACACGACCACCGGTCATTAGACCGGTGGAAATCTGTCCTTTGGTCTGATGTGAGATTTTTGGTTCCAACCGCCGTGTCTTTGTGAGACGCAGAGTAGGTGAACGGATGATCTCTGCATGTGTGGTTCCCACCGTGAAGCATGGAGGTGTGATGGTGTAGGGGTGCTTTGCTGGTGACACTGTCTGTGATTTATTTATTTAGAATTCCGTCGCACTTAAACAGCATGGCTACCACAGCATTCTGTAGCGATACGCCATCCAATCTGGTTTGCTCTTAGTGGGACTATCATTTGTTTTTCAACAGGACAATGACCCAAAACACACCTTGTCGTAGAAATATTTGACTCAAAAGTAGTCAACTCAAATATCTCTCAAGAAACTGGAGCTTGTGAATCCAAAAATTAGACTTTATTATTTTATTATTATTTGCGTAACAAAGCCGAGCTGCTCCATGGAACACCTGCTCTCCTTGGCTCAAAGATCTCATTTTATACAAATACAAGTGCACAATCATGTTTACATAGCATATACAGTTACTCCCCTTAGGGCAAATGATTAACTTATTTTAGTGCCACTCTACCCTTATCTTTCAACGTCCAGATGTCACATGTGGTTTACTCCAAAAGGCCATGGGCGCTTTTCCATATGAGGCCTCTTTCCCTTATCTCATTATATTGGTGGCAGACCCTTTCTTAAAAATAATACACATACATACAATAAGGCATGGCTACACACTACATTGGCTATATTCCTTATTTGAACATGCATCTGGATTACAAAGTATCAACCATGTTTACTATATTTTACCTTTTAGCACTTCCCAACATTTGCCTTATAAAATATCTCTATAACCTCCAGGCTGTGTAAGGGCTATTTGACCCAGAAGGAGAGTGTTGGAGTGCTGCATCAGATGACCTGGCCTCCACAATCACCCGCCCTCAACCCAATTGAGGTGGTTTGGGATGAGTTGGACCGCAGAGTGAAGGAAAAGCAGCCAACGTGCTCAGCATATGTGGGAACTCCTTCAAGACTGTTGGAAAAGCATTCCTCATGAAGCTGGTTGAGAGAATGCCAAGAGTGTGCAACGCTGTCATCAAGGCAAAGGGTGGCTACTTTGAAGAATCTAAAATCTATAATATATTTTGATTTGTTTAACACTTTGTTTGGTTACTACATGATTCCATGTGTTATTTCATAGTTTTGATGTCTTCACTATTATTCTGTCAACCTTTGACTGGTACTGTGTATATATTTTATTTATTTATTTATTGTTATTGTATTTGGTATCTGTTGTTTGTGTATGCATGCGTCTTGCTAAAGGTAGTCTAGTAGCTTTAGGGCCCACCTCATAAAATGTCTGTTTCAAAAATCTGATTTTTTTCTGGCTCGTTATTAAAAATATAATCTATTTTTCACCTTGTTTCTTTAATTTGTTGTATTATTAATGGATCAGTGATATTTTATGTTTTTGTACCATATCTTAATCTTAATCAAATTCTGGTATATAGCAAATCCAACTTACTTCTGGAATGTCGTAAGTGCGATTAGTTTCCCATGAATGTCCACCTTCACTGTGTCCCATAGAATATTAGGATTCACCTCACCATTGTCATTTTCCTCTATACATCACCTTTTTTAAATGTATTTGATCTACCATTGCCTTGTTGTTTAAAATGCCCACATTCAATCTCCACACAGTATTTATTTTCCTACAGTTTAGATATATGGCCATGAAATTTTACAATGGTCTGATACATCAGATACCCCAATCCCACATTCCTTCACTCTATACCTATCTCCTCCATTTATGAGAAAATAATATATCCTAGAACAGACTGAGTGAGGGACAGAGTGATGGGTATAATATCTTTCCAATGGGTGGAGGTCCCTCCAGATATCAATCAGTCCCAGTTCTATCAAAGAGGTGTTAATCAACTTTCCAAGGATCCTTTTATTTTCTCTTAGTACTGGTCTTGTCCAGATTATGATTTAACACCACGTTCAGATAGCCAGCACAAATTAAAATCCCCTCTGCTTCTGATGCTATGGTTTCAAATAAATAAGTAAAAAAAAAAAAAAGTATCTCTCTGGAGGGGCATAAACATTAACGAACATTACCTCTTTATGTTCTATTTTCCCCTTTACCACCGTAAATTTCCCCTCTGTCATTAATTTCCTTAATACTTTCCAAATGAACTGAGTTTGGAATAAGGATTTTCTGTTTAAAAGCGCAATATTTCTTTCAGAACTTTTTTAGTTTTTCATGTTCTAATTGTGCTAAATGTATTTCTTGGAGGAGTATGAACTAGATACATAAAGTGCTTTAATTTCTAAACAGTAAAACAGATATATATGAAAATACCCTCAAATAAAATGTGACATTCTGTACTTACTCCTCAAATGCAACATTTGATCGCAAGTACAAAATGCTGGAGTATACGAGACAAATTTAAAATGTTAGCTTCACTGTCCAAATACATATGGTGGGGAGATTAGCTATTTTTAGGACTAGATTATAATAACATCTCATTGTCACATCTCAATAACATAGTATTGTATTAATAGTATATGAAAGGATTTTTCAGCCTACATTTTGCCAACCACCCCATTGACCCCTAACCTTGAACTGTCAGGTGCTCCAGCCTCTGCAGCAGGGGGCGATGGTGAGGCCTCTTCAGGTGAGCCCCATTGTGACCCTCAGGGGTCAGCACCCCCACAGCCGCATTATGCTGGGACCACCACAGGTGCAGCTCAAACAGCTATAGACAGGTGAGTGGGGGAGGAGAACTTCACCTTGGTGGGACCATGTGAAACGAAGAAATCATGTCTGTCTGATCTCTCTCTCTCTCTCTCTCTCTCTCTCTCTCTCTCTCGTCTCTCTCTCATGTGTCTTTCTATCAGTCCCTATGGTGAAGCCTGGAGTGGTGCCTGGATCTAAGTTGTCTCCTAGTGCTGCCTATCTGGCTGCTGCAGCTCAGAAGAATAAGCTGAAGGAAGCTGGGGGCACGTTCAGGTCAGTTAGGTCACACCCACAAAACAATAAGAGGACAATTATCACAACTAAAATGAAAGATTGAAAAGTTCTGTAGCAGTTGCCTGGCTGACTGTGTGTGTGTGTGTGTGTCCAGGGATGACGATGACATCAATGATGTGGCGTCCATGGCTGGGGTTAACCTGTCTGAGGAGAGTGCCTGTATCCTGGCAACCAACTCCGAGCTGGTGGGAGCAGTGACATGTTCCTGTAAGGACGAGGCCTTACTCCATACCTCCACACTGACCAGGAGAATACTGGAGATAGGTGAGACTAAAGGTGTCAGCATGCTTCCGTTCGGCTAGTGCCTAACCAAACTCATCTAGACGAACCAAACGAGTGTGTCACATACTCCCTTAGAAAGACCTTCGCTTGATAAACGAGAAAAAAGTGGCAATAGTAAGGTTTGTCCATTTTGAGACCCCGTAGCCAGTATACACTTCCTCAAACTATTCAGAATGAATCTAAAATAACTCAATAAATATGTCATTCATTTTTATGTTCTTGCAGAGGAGATCTTAGTCGCGCAAGTTTACATCTAACTAAGATGTTTGGTGCAGTATTTCTCAATGAAAAAATGGGCGTGAAAACGAGTCATCTTGTTGAATGACAACAAAGACTTTATTGAAGAATCCCTACTGTTGACCAATCACCGACGAAGGGGCGTAGACTTCGGCTACTGACTTCGGGCTTCCATCAAGAAAATGTTTTCTGTGCCCGAATAGCCGAAAAAACCTTTACCCAAGTCTAAAACGAACAAAAGCATCACAAAATGTCGTCATAATATATGCACAAACTCTTCCGAAATGTTTCGGCTGGGAAGCATGCAGACGCCTTACACACACCCACACACACTGAAATATGCACCTTTGAGCTTAGTTTTCATAATGGCTCCATAGATCCCCACTGACTGCATGTGTTTCCACTCCTCTGGTAAGAAGTTTGGTGTGAGTGATCTGGGGCCGGAGGTAGTAAACTATGTGTCTCACGCCATCCAAACGATGCTACAGAACTTGCTAGAGAAAGTCTGAGGTGGCCCAGCAGCGGAACATCAACTTTAAGGTCTGTACAGTTTTATACGTATTTGGTGTCTTTACCATCTGCTCCTATGGTCTGGTACTTTAATGTATGTGTTGACAGGAGGACAGTTGGTACGAGCAGACCAGTGACATGCGTGCCCAGCTCAAGTTCTTTGAGCAGATGGATCAGATGGAGAAACAGAGGAAAGAGGAGCAGCAGAGAGAGATTCCGATGAAGACAGCAAAGGTACTGAAGTTGTATCAGCAGCACAGACCAATTCCACTACCACTCCCATTATATTTGACTTTCAGGGCCACTAGTGGTGAGAAGTGAAAATGAATTACTTTATTCTGGAGACCCACTTGACCCACTCCGATCTTTTTTCTGTTGGGTGTCCATTCAGTCTCGATCTCGTCAAGAACACCCTGAGCAGCTGCGGTTGAAACAGAAAGCCAAAGAGGTAAGAGATATGGATATGAACATTTGGCATAACAAACTACTGTATGTGTGACTGGAATGTCCATAGTAGGGGTATATGTGTGTATCTCACACGTGTGTGTGTGTGTCTCCAGATGCAGCAGCAGGAGCTGTTTCAGTTGAGACAGAAGGAAGCTAACCTGACGGCGCTGGCAGCAATCGGCCCCAGGAAGAAGAGGAAAATGGAGGCTGCAGCCGGAGCTGAGGTAACATGGTCTCCACCTTCTCTCACAGTGTGATGTGGGCTGTTTGTTTCTGTATTCAATTCACATTATTAGCGGTCTTTCATTCTCACTTACACAATCTCTTCTTTGTCTCGCTTTGTTTTTATTTATATTTCGCCCTCAAATTCCCTCTCACGTCTCTGCCCCTTTTGTCTCTTTCCCCCCTCAAACTCCCTCTATTGTTCTCTGACTGTCGCTCTCCCTCCCCCTCTCTCTCTCTCAGGGCTTGGGGTCAAGTGCCTCTGCGTCTGGTAGTGGTAGTTCAGGAGCGTCCAGACAATTTACCCGCCAGCGCATCACCCGTGTCAACCTCAGGGACCTGCTCTTCTGTCTGGAGAATGAGAGAGACACCAGTCACTCCCACCTCATCTACAGAAGCTTCCTCAAATAGACACCCCATAGAGACAGAGCGGAGAGAAGTCACTCTCACAACCACTACAGCAACTCCCTCAAATAGAGAGCCCAGAAAAAAAGGTATCTACCCTAGAATTGGATAAGAGGAATGGGACAGTGATAACATGATGTCATGATTCTCCAGGTCACAGTGAATGGATCTGACCAAAGTGAATGGAACGTTTGTCTCCAATGTATACTGTGGTTGTCCTGTCGTTCTTCATCTAGTTCTGTACCTGACCGCTCCCTCTACACTCCACCTTCCCCCAGAGCATTCCTGGGACCCTCTCTCACATGTTCTACGGTTTTTATAACTTTTTTATTGACTTTGTTTTAGAATCCCCTTTTAATTAAAGGGTAAATAAATAAATATTAGCATTATATTATTACACAGTATACTTGGAAGGCTGTTTTGTAGTGTGGAAATGACCATTTGTACAAATTTAAAGTAATACAGTCAATTCATTTTATAAGTCTGTTTATATGAAAACATGTTTTAAAGAATTAATCAGCAGTGTTTGTAACGATTGTTAAGAACATTATCTTTATTTTGTGATAGTTATTCTATTGGCCTCTGAATTAGTTTGAACATTCTGATTTCTGCTTGTCGTCTACTGCAGTGGTTCCCAACCAGGGGTACTAGGACCCCTGGGGGTACTTGGCCTATCCACGGGGGTACTTGAGAAGACTCACGAGACCTTAGGCCTACTGGTAAAATGCACAAGAGGGGGTACTTCTGGGGTACACCAGGCAGAGCAATATTCAGTTGGTGGTACAGTAACCAAATAAGGTTCAGAACCACTGGTCTACTGAGTTTCCTTCCTGACAAAATAAGCCATATATTTGTATCTAATCTTGAACAGTACCGCAATTAATCTAGTGATTCCTGCTTAAATCTGAAGCAGTAGATTTTTGTCTCTTTAGTTTAATCTGTTTGAGCTTATCTTGAATTCAATGTCTTGTATTTATATTTTGTAATCAGCTCAAACACTTTTCTTTTCAAACTGCGTTTGTGCTGTTGAGATCATCTCTCTCCTGTGTTCTGCATGGGTTAAATTGATAGTCTCTACAATATTGTGTTCTAATGATTTAATGCTTTTCCTATTGCATTTTTGGTCATTTAAGTATTTGCAATGATTAATTATTAGATTTCAACAACAGTAAAAACTGTTCTAAAATAGATTAAAAAACTATTTGTCACCGCGATATGACTGGAGTTTGGCCTTCTGGTATGATTCCCCACAGACACAACATGTATGTAGGAAAGTTGGTTTTTCTTAAAGTCCTACTCCAGCCTCCTTTTCACCTCATTTAACACCTGATTTACTTAACAAAAGGCACATCTCAATAGGTGGTCCAGATATCCTCATGACATGGCACAAGTGAGGGGGGTGTGCCTTTCCTCTTTTGTTCTCTATTGCTCCTCAAGTAAGGTAGGGGCCGATGACATCACAAAGTCACCATCAGACCAACTCCTTGAAGTTTGCAGTCGTGTCTAAACAATAATAATAATGGCATTTAGCAGACGCTTTTATCCAAAGCGACTTAGTCATGCGTGCATACATTTTTTTTGTGTATGGGTGGTCTCGGGGATCGAACCCACTACCTTGGCGTTACAAGCGCCGTGCTCTACCAGCTGAGCTACAGAGGACCACAGAAACAACAGTGTTTGTGTTTAATAGGCTAAATTCGGGATCTTTTCGGGATCTTTAGTCCGCCGAATTAAAGATCCAAGCTACCAATTACTTCACACTGGAAGAAGTTAAACTACACTAAAGCTACCCTTAAAAATAGTTTACTTTGAAAAAGTAGTTCATTACATCCAAACTACTTTAGTTATCATTATCTAAATCTGAAATACCAGACTACAAATTGCTAGAACACATCACTTTGGGGTCATATGGTAACTGAATGTGTAATTTAGCCTATTAAACACAAACACTTTGTTTAAAGTGAGAATTAGGCAGGTCTGATGCTAAAAACGAAAGGAATGTATTGCCTACTTCTCCCATATTTGTTGGGGGGTTGCAAAAACAGTAGTTTGTAGTCCAGTAGTTAGCTACACCGCTCCATGGCAAAAAAGTAATGAACTACTGAAAACATGACCTAGATTTGAATTTAGTTCAACTATCAACAAGCTACTCTAAAATGTAATTACATTATTATTAATAGACATACATTGTATTTCTATGGTTGGAGTCCTCAAATGTAATTGCATTGAATCAAATTAATCAGATCCAATGATTTGCCGGGTTGCTGCTAGTAATTATATAATTTCCTAAACTGAACATGTAGACATTGCCCTCTAGTGCATGGATCTTGTTCTTAATATATGGCAAGGAATAAATATTTGTTCCACTTTTATTGAAGGGGTTTATTCGCTTTCAATCCTATACGAGTGGCGCAGTGATCTAAGGCACTGCATCGCAGTGCTAGCTGTGCCACTAGAGATCCTGGTTCGAATCCAGGCTCTGTCGTAGCTGGCCGTGACCGGGAGACCCATGGGGCGGCGCACAATTGGCCCAGCGTCGTCCAGGGTAGGGGAGGGAATGGCCAGCAGGGATGTAGCTCAGTTGGTAGAGCATGCCGTTTGCAACGCCAGGGTTGTGGGTTCGATTCCCACGGGGGGCCAGTATGAAAAAAATAAAATAAAAAAAATTTATGCACTCACTAACTGTAAGTCGCTCTGGATAAGAGCGTCTGCTAAATGACTAAAATGTCAAATGTAAATGTATACAAAACCATTGCAGTTAAAAACTTTAGGTAAAATATTTACATATGAACAGGTGTCTGTGCAACATGTACAAGAACTAAGGGAGACATGCTATACGTATGAAAAAAAAAAAATTATGCACTCACTAACTGTAAATCGCTCTGGATAAGAGTGTCTGCTAAATGACTAAAATGTAAAATGTAATCCGTCCGAGATTCTGCTTACTTTGATTTCTCTGTAAGAGACAAATATGAAAAGGTACCGAAAAATCTGCATCTAAAATCAAAGTGATCTGGAAAAAAATACTACAGAGCTCTAGCCAGGGCTGTCCAATGGGGCATCGGAACAGCAGCACAGATTATTGAGCAGATAGGAAAGCTTTAAAAATCATAACATCCTCATTCATATCGATATCAAATATCATCAAAATCAGAATCTCACTAGAAAAAGGTACAACGTTTGCATGTTTTGGGGGTTAGAATATTACATTATTCCCTCTAATATATTATTTGAGAAAATGGTAGAAGAATACATGCAGTCCTTAAAGACGTCCTCCAGTGATTTTTGAACTTTACCTGTTGAACAGTGGGTTATCTTTGGTCTCTTTGTTGCCTCTCTGATTAAATGCCCTCCTTGCCTGGTCTGTGAGTTTTGATGGGCGGCCCTCTCTTGGCAAGTTTGTTGTGGTGCCATATTCTTTCCATTTTTTAATAATGGATTTAATGGTGCTCCGTGGGATGTTCAAAGTTTCTGATATTTTTTTATAACCCAACCCTGATCTGTACTTCTTCACAACTTTGTCCCTGACCTGTTTGGAGAGCTCCTTGGTCTTTATGGTGTCGCTTGCTTGGTGGTGCCCCTTGCTTAGTGGTGTTGCAGACTCTGGGGCCTTTCCGAATAGGTGTATATATACTGAGATCATGTGACAGATCATGTGACACTTAGATTGCACACAGGTGGACTTTATTTAACTAATTATGTGACTTTTGAAGGTAATTGGTTGCACCAGAACTTAATTAGGGGCTTCATAGCAAAGGGGGTGAATACATATGCACGTTATTTATTTTTTATAATTTCTTAAAACAAGTTATTTTTTTCATTTCACTTCACCAATTTGGACTATTTTGTGTATGTCCATAACATGAAATCTAAATACAAATCCATTTAAATTATAGGTTGTAATGCAACAAAATAGGAAAAACGCCAAGGGGGATGAATACTTTTGCAAGGCACTGTAGCTAGCTAGCTAGCTAGCTAGTTCTTCACTACTACCAAAATGAAGCACCCACTTGGGTGAAGCTACGGCAGTCACATGGCACAAGAAAGCACCCCACATTTCAATAATAATTCAAGAGTAGCCTTGTAACTTAGTCCTCCCTACAATCCTCATCACTGCACACCTCAGCCATATTTATTTTGGGGTTCTCTCCATTCTCAACCTCCGGACACATGCCTGGCATTTGAATCAAAACAATTGCCAGCTAGCCAGCTGACATTTAGCTAGCTAGCCAAACAAACAAATTACTTGCCAGCTTTAGTCTTCAAACTCCATTGTGGATTCTGATGACATTAATTGTTCATCCTTAAAACAAAAATGCCATAAAAATGTATTCATTATACAAATATGTACAGGAGCTCTCTGCTTATGGACATAATACAGTGGGGGAAAAAAGTATTTAGTCAGCCACCAATTGTGCAAGTTCTCCCACTTAAAAAGATGAGAGAGGCCTGTAATTTTCATCATAGGTACACGTCAACTATGACAGACAAATTGAGAATTCTTTTTCCAGAAAATCACATTGTAGGATTTTTTATGAATTTATTTGCAAATTATGGTGGAAAATAAGTATTTGGTCACCTACAAACAAGCAAGATTCCTGGCTCTCACAGACCTGTAACTTCTTCTTTAAGAGGCTCCTCTGTCCTCCACTCGTTATCTGTATTAATGGCACCTGTTTGAACTTGTTATCAGTATAAAAGACACCTGTCCACAACCTCAAACAGTCACACTCCAAACTCCACTATGGCCATGACCAAAGAGCTGTCAAAGGACACCAGAAACAAAATTGTAGACCTGCACCAGGCTGGGAAGACTGAATCTGCAATAGGTAAAAAGCTTGGTTTGAAGAAATCAACTGTGGGAGCAATTATTAGGAAATGGAAGACATACAAGACCACTGATAATCTCCCTCGATCTGGGGCTGCACGCAAGATCTCACCCCGTGGGGTCAAAATTATCACAAGAACGGTGAGCAAAAATCCCAGAACCACACGGGGGGACCTAG